GCTTTCCAAAGAGCCCCGCCTGCCTGCGGTTTCAGGAAATGTCATCTCAGTCCTTCCAAGGAGGTTGGGCTGTGTCCACTCGGTCAGCCAGGAGTCAGCGGCCCCTGGAGGTCCTGCTTCAGTGGACAGACAAGACCAGCCGGGGAGGAGTGGGCAGATGCCTGCGTCTCAAGAACATCCTGAAGCCAGGCGTGATGGCGCAGCCTACAATCCCAGCGCTGGGGAGGCTGAGGCAGGAGGATCACAAGTCCAAATCGGCCTCAGCAACTCAGAGAGACCGTCTCTAAATAAAAGATTCAAAAGGGCTGGGGATGTGGCTCAGTGGTTAGGTGCCCTTGAGTTCAATCCCTGGTAGCAATTAAAAAAAGAAAAATTCTGAATTCCAAACGGGTCCCACTTTCTGAGCAGCTTCTTCAGGCTGAGCCACCCCCTCCTACAATCATGAACCCGAAACGGCAACATGGAAGGGCCCCGGCTAAGCTGAGGCCTCTCCAAGGAGCAAGAAGGCCACACGCTTCTTATCCTCAAATCTCCTGCACCCCATGAGCTCTGATCAGTTCATTTCACAGGGGAGGACTCGGGTTCATAAGTTGCTCACTCACACAGGCCACAGGGGCTGCAGCAGGTACGGCACCCACACCTGGGCCTGAGGTTTTGAGGCTGAACTGCTGCTCCTGCCCACAGAACAGACAACCCCCCAAAATGACCGCAGGTGGACCCCTCAGGGCCGGGGCTCTTTGCTTTTCAGCCAGCCCAGCCGTCCTCCCTTGCTTGCTCATCCACTGGCCCTTGTGAAGGACTCTGGGTGTGATCCCCAGGCCCTGGACTCCACTTCCTGTCTTCCACTTGGGTGGCCCTTCCTGGGGTCTGCCCCAATCAGCATGCACCACGTGCCGTGCACAGTACGGGACCCCAGGGAAAAAGAGGGCTGAACTTGGTATGTCAGACCCCAAGCACACTCGGTGGAAGAGGGAAAGACAGGCTGACCCCAGCCTGGCCCCCACGGTGGAGAGCAAATGAAGGGAGACCCCTCAGCTCCGCGTGTCCTAAACAACATGGCCAGAAGGTCCTGCTCGTGATCAGGGAGGGCGTGGGCAGGTTGGCAGAGCGCCTTGGGCGTTGGGGTGACAGTCCTGAGTTTGCATTGCATCTCTCTGGCTGGATGATCTTCAACACCCCATCACCTGATCGCCCAGCCTCAGTTTTCCCATCTGCAAAACAGGGCCATGGCATGGCGAGAACCTGAATAGAGAAGTCGGTAAGACATGCTCCACCCCAAGTGCTCAGCACAGACGTGGTGAGAACTTACTAAGTTCATCATTAAATGAGAACTTACTAAGTTCATCATTCAGATCCGCAGCACCTGTACCCAATCCCCATCCCTAGGCAGAGTTCCCCAAGGACATTTATGTATTCATTTTAAAGGGACCTACTCAGTCTCAAGCTAAAGGTAAAGGCTGAACATTTGACACTCAGCAGGGAGCAAGGAAGGCCCCGCTGGAGCTCGGTTTTTCTGTGGCTCCAGGACTGCTGCCCTTTGACTGTCTAGAACAATCTGAGCTCAAAGCCTCAGGGTCTTCCTGGTAGCTCTCTGCTGCCCCCTCGTGGACATATGGGGTATGCACCTCAGTGCAATTCCAGCCAAGTATGGAGCCCTCAGCTCCAAGTGGCTGTGACAACGCGGGTCCCTCTTAGGGTGCACTCTTAGGGAGCGTTTTACACAATGTCCGTCACTCAGTCCTTATTTCAGCCAGATAAAGAACCGGAACGACTGTCCCAGTCAGTCCCATGTCTGGGTGGCCTTGCTCTTGGGGACAGGAGGGAGGGGAATGGGCCACAGAGTCTGGAGATGACAGGGCAGGGAGAATGTTCCTCCCACAGCGCTGGTCACTGGGTCCTGGGGCCTGCCTGCCTCCAGCTCTGCCTTGGTGACCCTGAGGGGACAGGCTGGGGCAAGGGACTGAGGAGGGCCAGTGTCTGAGGCAAGGCCCCGGGCGTCAGGAGGGAAGGCCACCCACCCTGCCCGCGGTGTCCTCCCCGTCAGCAGGGGAGACCTGAACTCTGACGGCCCCCTCTGGCCAGAGCCTTACCCAGTGTCCTCCATGGCCCTTCTTGGAGGCCCTCCTGGGGAGTGGCTCCTCGGGGCCCCTTCCCTGGTTCCTGACTGGTCTCTCCTGATCACCCATGGACGCCCGGGATGAGGACCAGCCGCTGGGCCTGGTGGCCCTGCCTCCCCGTCCCTCGCCACTCCCCCCTGCCACCAAGCTCCTGACTGGGCTTTTTTCCTTACGTTTTATTTTTCATTGCAAAGGCGATTCTGCCTCCGTTCCCTCCTCTGTGCACTCGCTGTCCCCTGAGCCGGGAGCACCCGCCCCACCCACCTGCCCCCGCTCTCCGTCAGGAGGGCTCCTGCCCTCGGGGATCACTGTCCCCTGGGCCTCCGCTCCCCATCACGTCTCTGTCACCAGAGGCTGCGCGCTCCCCATCCTGTCCCCAGCAGCAGCCTGGAGTGTGTGTTGGTGAGAGAACACGTCAGCAAATGGCCGCGTCCCAGGAGACCCCCGGGGTGTCGGAGTCAGGCCCGCCCAGCCCCCAGCTCGAGCCCCTTCCCTCCCTCCTGCCCTGGGCACCCCTGGGGTCCCTCGCGAGGCAGGCTCTCCCTGTGCCCTTACAAGGTTCTGGAAGCTGGACGCACCCTGTGGACTCTGCACCCTTGGGCCCCCAGGAGGGCAGGGCCGGGAGCTTCCACCTCCCACCTGGGGAAAGCCCTGAGTGCGGGAGGCCCCCTCCCTCTGCCTGGCCTCTCTGTCCTGGGCTTAATGTTTAAACAGCAGCTCAAAGTCCAGGTGGCCTCAGCACCGCCTCCCTCTCTGCTCTGGTTAATAATCTCAGGATCACAAACACCCCAGGGGCAGGAGGGCAACACCCTGCCGTCCTGGGGCCTCTCCCAGCCTCGGGGGCCGGCTGAGCACCGAGGGAGGCCCTGTCCAGGGAGGCCGGGACCACCTCGGCTTCTGGTTTGGACAGTGGGGTTGATAACCTGGGTCCTGCCCCCTGCCGCGAAGATCAGGTGCCATCTTGGTTCCCTGTAACAGCCCAAGTAAGGTGACAGATGCCCTGAGGTCACAGGGCGCTTTCACAAACAGTGTCTCTGTTGACCTCTTGGCAGGCGGAGCAGGGACTGTTGTCTTCAGCTTACAGAATGGGAAAGAGGCCTTCAGAGAGAGAAAGCCGCCCAGTTCACCCAGAATAAGAAGTCAGAATGTCTGGCTTCCAGTCCTGTGCACGCCCTCTTGGTCTACGCTGCCCCCTGCTGCTGCCTTTAGCCAAACCACAGAAGACTGAGAAACTCCGGTAGCACAAGGGAAGAGAACTATTCCAGAAAGCTAAGCCAAGGCGTTTGCTGGCTTAAACATCGGTCATGGCTTTGAGCTTCCTGGCAGCCAAAGGAAAAAGGAAATGCAGTCAGTGGCCAGGCTGTCTGTTATGGAGCAGAGGAAACTTAAAAAACAGAGACATGCTCCGGATAACAGGAAAAGAGGGTTGGAACGAGATCCTACCATACACCATTTGTTCATGCACTGACAATGTAGGGAATGCCCCCAAATTCTCACACCGCAGGGGTCTTGTACTTGGAACTGTCTTTCTGAAAGGGTCACCCCCAGCTCTAGCCGGGAGGCTGCTGCCTGGGTGACAGGCCCCTCCAGGAGCAGGGGAGACGGCGGGCAGGGCTTGACCCCCGGAGAAGAGAACTTCGGGGAGAGACCACGGTGTCGCGGGCCAACAGCCTGAGCTCTGGAGACTCACGGGTCCGGTTTTCTGAGACTTCCCATCCACCATCATCAGTCAAAGGACACTGTCCTCACTTCCTGGGGACAAAGGACCACATCCAGGTGGCTGAGAACAGAAGTGAACTCTCTCGCAGGACTGGACTCCGGGGGTCCCAGAGCAAGTCGGCAGAAGAGACTGGCTCCCTCTGGGGACTCCGGAGCGGACCCTGCCTGGCCTCTTGCCAGTCTCGGTCGGTCGACCTGCGGCTGCCCCTCCAGCCCCTGCCTCGTGTCCACGCAGCCCTCTTCTCTGTGCGTCTCTGAGTCTCTGTCTGTGTTTTCTGATAAAGACACTGGACATTGGGTTCAGGATGCACTGTCACCCAGGTCACCCTTATCCCAACTAATTGCATCTGCAAGTAAGGGCCACGTTCTACAATTCTGGGTGGTCAGGAATTTTGGAGAGAACACTATTTAAGCCCCACAAACAGCTTCAGCTGTCCCCACATGGCAGAGGTGGTGGTAGTGCCTCCCCGGCGTGAACACCTTCAGTCTCACCACAATGCTGGGAACCAAGGATTGCTGCTATGTCCGAGAAAACCCAGGCACAGAGAGGTAGAGCAACTTGCCCAAAGTCACACAGAAGGAATGCCGTATAGGCTAAGTCCCTGCTCTTGAACACGGCCAAATGCTGTCTTTCTCAGCAGCTCCACTTCCCAGCTGGGGGGCCCTGACCAGTCACCTCACTTCTTGGAGACTCCAATCCTCTGTTTGTAAAGAGGGAAGATAGCACCTCTGCCTGGGTGTAGTGGGAGTGTAACTCAGTTCTGTGGCTTGTGGGACAAAGCCGGGTACCGCAGGTACTCAGTGAGGGAGGCTATTGTCACTATCATCATCTCTACTATTATTTGCAAGGACTTCGGGAAGCCGGTGCCCAGAGAGAGACCCCCGAGGTGGGCAGGAGGCCTTCTGGGGGCCGAGCCCTCTCTGCTGAGCCTGGGTCTCTTCCCAAAGGCCACTGGCCCCCTTTCTACGGGAATCAACCCCAGTGATCGATCCCAGTTGGCCTTGGGCCCTGATTGGTCCCTGTCAAGCAGAGCAAACACCACGGTCACCTACCAGCCTCGGGCCCCTTCCCCAGCCCCAGTTCCCAGCCACCCCTGCAGGAAGTTTGCAACCCCTCTGTCCCCAGAGCAGGCAGTGCACCGCCCGAGGACAGAGAGCAGAGCCATGTGGGGTCTCCGCGCCTCGCTTCTGCTGTTGGCCACCTGCGTGGCGGCGAGCGCTGACCCTGTGCCAGATGACATCCAAGTGCAGGAGAACTTCGACGTCACCCGGGTAAGGCTGTCCTCTCTGGGGGAGGTGGCTGTGGGCGCCTCGTGAGCTCTCGGTCTCCCCCTGGAGCTCCAGTGGTCAGTCCCTCCTGTCATGCCATTTGGGCTCTGGGATTCTTCAGAGCTACAGCTCGACCCGTCTGTCCTTCATTCCGTGGGACCTCTCACCTCAGATCCCACAGGTCAAGCATCCTGTCCCCGCAGGCTCCAAGGAGACTCTGGGACTCTCGAGCAGCTGCCCCAGGGCAGGCTTCGTCTGGGACGGCCACCCTGCAGCCCCTCAGCCGCCCACGTGGCGTGGACCTCGGGGCTCGCCCTGTCCCCGCCTTGGTCCTCAGTGACCTTCCCTACACGTCCTTCTGCTGGCCCATCCCCGGGTCTCATCCACACTCATGGCGTGGACAGAACCTGGGATGGCACAGGGCAGGCGTGTGCCCATGAGCCTGGGGGCCGGGGTGGGAGATGATGGGGAGTGGGGAAGCAGGACGGAGCTTGGTCAGGGCCGGGTCCCAGGGCTCCCCGTCCCTGGAGGGGTAAAGACAGGACTGTCTCTTGAGGAGCAGTGGCCGGTGACCTGGGGACACAGAGGTCAGCCCCGTCCCCAGGAGCAACACACTGTGCTCAGGGAATCTTCTGAGTGGCAGGCGGGGTTGGGTGCTCCCCTCCTTCCTCAGCCACCTGGGGCCTGTGACTCCACAGTGTCGTGAGACCGGAGGCGGGAGGGGAGCAGGCAGGGTCTGGGGCCGGAGGGGACCAGACCCTGTGCCTGCCTCCTAGATCTACGGGAAGTGGTTCAACCTGGCCGTTGGCTCCACCTGCCCTTGGCTGAAGAGGATCAAGGACAAGATGAGCGTGAGCACGCTGCTGCTGGGAGAGGGGCCCACGGCGTCGGAGATCAGCGTCATCCACACCCACTGGCGGTGAGCGGGGAGTGGAGGGGGCACCCACCTTGTCTCTGAAGCCTGCAGGCCTCTGCCCAGCCACGTCCTGGCCCCCAGCCCCAGGTCCCTCTCTACCTCCTGCAGGAGGGCCTCCAAGGCTGTCCCCTCTGGACCTCAGCCTCCTCCTCCTCTTCCTCCTCCTTCTCCTCTTCCTCCTCCTCCTCCTCCTCCTGGGCTGTTGCTTGGCTCAGGAAGGTCCCTGCCACCCCCAGGGGCCAGCCTGTCTTCTCCCTCCCCACCCCCACCCCTGGGCCAAGCTGGCTCTCTCTGGTTGTCTGTAGCAACCTGTGGACTCTTGTCTACCTCCATCCCCCATCCAGTCCACTCTTCACCCAGAAATCAGAAAGACCTCCCCAAACCCACATCTGCTCAGGGTGCTGGGCTCCTTGGCCTATTCATGGCTCCCGGCTGCCCTTGGGAATTAGATTGAGACCTTGGGCGCAGAGGCCTTCCAGGCCTCCCATGCCACCCGCCAGTCGCCGTCCCACGCTTTCCCATGCACTGTGACCTGCCCTGGTGGACCTGCAATTCCTGAAAACCTTCACCCACTTGACCCCCCACCCCCGCCTTTGCACGTGATGCTCCTTCTGGAAGCCCCTCTCCCCGCCCCCTGGGCTAACTCCTATGCATCCTCAGGGCTCTGGTTCCATGACACTTCCTCCAGGAGGGCCTCCCTGGACCCCAGGTCAGGCCACAGGCCTTCCTTTGAGCTGCCGGAGCACCAGGCTTCCCCAACCTGGCATGGTCATCTGGTTGTCTGCCTCTGGCCAGCCTCCTTGGTCCTCAGGGAGGTCCGCTGCAGGAGAGGCTCGGGCCGTCTTGCTGCGTCTGTATTCCCAGCACAGAGCATGGTGCTGGGTGCGAGTGCACTGCCTGATAAATGTCCCCTGGGTGGCTAGGAATCACTGCAACAGTCACAGCCACCTGCACGCAGCGCTCACCTCGGCTCCCTGCGGTAGACTCAGCGTGTGGGGTAGAGCTTCCCACTGCACTGAGGGGAACTGGGGAGGCAGGAGGCCCTCGGGATCATGAAGGAACCCACACACGCGGGCACTAGCCCACCCCCAGGGCCGCGGGGTTTGGTTAGGGTCAGTGATGTTGGTGTTGGCTTTGCCAAGCGAATGGCATCGACTGGTCCCTTTGTCCCCTCATAGGTAAAATGAGGGCTGGCCTGAGTATTAGACAAGATGCTTGGAAATGTTGATTTGAAATTCAATGAGACAAGAGAAACAAGATGTTTGGAAAGAGCCTGGGGGAGGGCCGGGTGGTGCCGACTTCCTCTCCGGGGTTCATTCCAGGAGGGGCGTCTGCGAGGAGATGTCCGCGGCCTATGAGAAGACCAGCACGGCGGGCAAGTTCCTCTACCACAAGCCCAGTACGTCCTCGGCTCCCCTTCCCCACCCCACCACCGTCCCTCCCACCTAGCTGAGGTGTCGCCCAGCTCCCCCAGGCGCCCCTCCATCCCTCCCCCTCTTCTTCTGCCTGCCTCGTCCCCCATGAGCACGTGTGCAGAGGAGGGCAGTGGCGCTGAGCGCGGAGGGTGACGTCAAGATGCCACCAGCCCCCGGGTCTTGCTGAGCCTGGTGCTCACTGATAGAGGGCCCTGGGCATGAGTGCATTTGTCAACTCAGCAAATATGCTGCATGTGCCAAGAAATCAGGAATTTACGAATTTTTGCACAGATGGAAGGAGGCATGGAGGGAGGGATAGATAAATAAATGAGTCCATGGATGATCGATGGGTATGGACGCCAGATCAATGAGTCCATGGGTAAATTGACGAAGGAATAAAGGAGGAAGGAGAAAGAAAGGGAGGGAGGAGGGGGAAGGGAGGAGGAGGAGGAAGGAAGGAGGAGGAGGAAGGAGGAGGAGGAAGGAGGAGGAGGAGGAAGGAGGAGGAGGGAGGGAGGTTTAGGGAGGACTGCTGGATGGAGTCATGGGCAGTCAGGGCAGGTGTGGAGGAGATGGCCCAGTGGCTGGAGAGAGGGACTGAAGATGGAGATTGGTAATAAACACCCAGGAGGGCTGGGCAGCCAGGTGGACAGGGGAAGGCACGAGGTGAGAGCGAACGGGCAGCAGGTCTCGAGGTCAAGGCTCTGACCACTGACGCCCGTGGCCTGGCTGCCTTTCCTTTGCAGAATGGAACGTGACCATGGAGTCCTACGTGGTGCACACCAACTATGACGAGTACGCCATTTTTCTGACCAAAAAAATGAGCCGCCACCATGGACCCACCATTACCGCCAAGCTCTACGGTAATGACCAGTGATGACAGCAGCACCTTGGAGCTGGGTGGGCTTCTGGACAGTGGAGTGGGGGGAGCAGGAGGCTTTGCCTTTCCTTTTGACAAAACTCCAGGTGGGGGAAAGCCTTTGCTCTCCCCGGGGGAGGAAGGGTCCAGGTCCCCATGTGAGGCGGGACCCCTTCACTTGACCTCTAAAGTCAATCTGGAGTCTCCAGGCCCCCGAAAGAGCTGGTGGGAAGAGCCTGGGGTGGGGACTCGGGAGCCCCGTGTTGGGAGCCTGAAGGGGCCCCTCTTCCTGTTGGAGAGCCTTCCTTCCCCTAAGTGTGTCTCGGAGTTTGAACAGGTCAGTAGTTCTAGAACTTTCCCTAAGTGAGAACCATCGGGCCTGGTGGCTCCTCTGCTCCCCACCTGCAGGGCGGAAGCCACAGCTGAGGGACAGCCTCCTGCAGGCGTTCAGGGAGATGGCCCTGGGCGTGGGCATCCCTGAGGACTCCATCTTCACAATGGCCGACAGAGGTGAATGGCCCCCGCACCCCACCTCGAGTTCCTGTCCCCTCTTCGTTCTTCATTCCCTGTCCCCAAACCATGGATCTTTTCTATCACCCTCTGAGACAAACAGGGACAATAGTCCCCTCCCTTCTTTACAAGCAGAGAGCCGCTGGATTTGTTCGTGTCTTGGGTCTATGGGGCGATAGAGCTGGGGCTGGACTGCATGTTCTCAGCAGGTTGGACAGAAATCCAGCATTCCTCTAGGGGGCGACACGGAGCTGGGGTTGGGGTGCAGCGTGGGAACTGAGCGTCTGTGTTCAAGTTCAGTTGGGTGGGTGGCTTCTGGCTGGTCCACCTCGCAGAGCCTCATGTTCCCATCTGTCAAATGGGGATAATAATGCCTTCCTCTAAGGGAAGGCCGGTGAGGGGTCAGTGAGGTCAAGCCATTAAGGACCACAGCATGGGGCCTTCAGGTGCTCTCACTGTTCCCGTGATGGCGCTGGCCGGGTGGACAGATGGCGGTGCTGTGCAGCCAACAGGCTGTAACTTTTTCAGTGAATGACCTTGAGCAAGCATAGTGGTGGTGGTGGGGGGGTCACGAGGTGGGCTACCGCACAGGATGGTTTCTAGCAGGATGCCATTGGCACCATGAAAGAAATCGGGTCTAGGACCCCCCCCAGGCCTGGTCCTCTTCTTTACTCCTTTCTCCTGTCTCCTGACCTAGGGGAATGTGTCCCTGGGGAGCAGGAGCCACAGCCCACCCCACTCTCGGTAAGTGCTGCTCCCCGCCCCCTTCAGGCTCCTCACTGGGCTGCTGCTGGCCTGGCTCAGGCCCTGCCATGGTGCAGGGGTCACTGAGGAGGTGGAGCAGCCTGCCCTGGGCATGGGTTTTGAGGTCAGACCCACCTGGGCTCCACCTTGGTGCTGCCACTTGAGCTTGTTGCTGCCCCGTTGGGACCTCACTGTCCCACCTGGGAAATGGGGTCATTATGCTCACCTTCCAGGGCTGTGCTGCAACTCCAGGACCCGTTAGGAAAGCTCTGAGCAGGGTCTCAAAGAGGGGAGACGCTCAGCCGGGCGTGGTGGTGCACGCCTGTCAATCCAGCAGCTCGCGAGGCTGAGACAGGAGGATTGTGAGTTCAAAGCCAGCCCCAGCAATGGCGAGGCGCTAAGCAACTCAGTGCGACCCTGTCTCTAACAAAATACAAAATAGGGCGGGGAGGTGGCTCAGTGGTCCAGTGCCCCTGAGTTCAATCCCTGGTACCAAAAAAAAAAAAAAAAAAAAAAAAGAAGGGAGACACTCATCAAGAAAGGAACAGTCTCCAATGAGGATGATGGTTTCAGTGCACGGAAATAAAGGCGGTTGGTGTCCCTGAAAAGCAGCCAATTAGAACAGGCAGCCCCCTCCTCAGCTCCTTCTGAATCTGGGCCTCCCTTTTATTTCCCTGCCTATTACCATATTGATTACACTTTCTTCATTCTTCATGTTCTCTGTTTGGGAGTTACATTCGTCATACAGGTGTGTGTGTGTGTGTGTGTGTGTGTGTGTGTGTGTGTGTGAGAGAGAGAGAGAGAGAGAGAGAGAGAGATTGATTG